GGATAACAAAAGTTGTTGAACCCCACACTTGCCTAGACAATAGGGGGAAGGAAAATCATCAGCAGCTGACTGCACGTTACCTTGCCCGTCGTATATTGGGGCTCGTTGATGACAATAACGACATCTCGGTGTCTTCTTTACAACAGTCTATATCTGGATTCGTTAGGTACGATGTGTCGTACGGAAAGGCTTGGTGTGCTAAGCAAATTGCTCTGGCGATTCGATGGGGTACTTGGGAGGAAGCGTACAACAGGGTGCCCCACATCTTATGTGCAATGCATTATTACAACCCTGGCTTGAAATGGTTTGTTGACACCGGAGGGATGTATTTTTGGGACCCATTGAGGCATGTCCTCTATCGTGTGTTCTGGTCGTTCGCGTAAACAGAACATGCATTCCAGTTTTATCGGCCAGTCGTACTTGTTGATGGCACTTTTCTGACAGGAAAGTACAGGGACACCTTGATGATGGCTGCTGCTATTGATCTTGAGGACCAGATAGTACCCGTGGCTTTTGCTTTGGCAGAGGGAGAGAACAATGAATCATGGTCATGGCTCATGCGGCTTCTACGTGTGTAAGTCCTTGGCTCAACTCGCACTATATGTTTGATCTCCGACCGCCACGTAGGGCTTCTTAATGCTGCAGCTGAGCATATAGATAGGTTCCCGCCTCTAGTACATAGATGGTGCAAGAGACACTTTGCCTCAAATTTCTAGCGGCGTCAGTGGAAGAAGGAGGTATGTGACAAAGTAAAGGCTCTATGTTGTGTACGTATAGAGCATAAGTTCAAGGAGACAAAGAGAGAACTAGACAAGATGGTAAATGCAGCAGGAAAGGCCTAGTTAGAGGCGCAGATGGAACAGAAGGCTCAATGGGCGTTAGCATATGATGAGGGGGGTTTCAGGTATGGCATCATGACTACTAACTCCTTAGAGTCCTTCAACCGTGTATTCAGCGGAGTTCGATCGTTGTCTGTGTCTGGAAATTGTTGAGTTCTCCTTTCATAAGTGCAATGAATATTTTGTGAAGAGGTGGGAACTTGCATAGAGGAATATAGCTGAGCAGGGGCGTTTTGGAAAGGCCGGAGCTAAACATTTGAAGGAGGCCAAGGAGTTGGCCAAGCAGCACACTGTCGAGCCATATGGACCCCACCACCACATCTTTAGTGTACGGGGCAAGGGTGGCACAAGCTTGGGTGGCGAACGTTATGGTGGATGAAACTACCGAGTTGATCTTGAAAAGGTAGAGTGCAGTTGCAACGTCCCTCAGATCATGCATGCCCCTTGCTCTCATATGATCATAGCCTGCATGGTTCGTGGGTACAACTATGAGGATCTATCATATATGTCACCCTTGTATCTCCGTTCAAACACCGTTAGTATTTGGGAGATGAGCTTCGAGCCATACCTAGACCCAACATAGTGGCCACCTTATAATGGTTATGACTATGTGCCGCATCCGGATCTAATGAAGGTAGGGAAGGGTAGAAGGAAGAAGAAGCGACTGAAGGGGGACATGGACGCTATGAGAGGGTACAGGGAAGACATGTACGGCGGGGGAGACTTCAATGAGACCAGTGGCAGGAATCTTGCTCCGTTTGCAAACAATCTGGTCCACAAGGCTAGCCGGCATAGAAGACAACAGGTGATTTCATATTGTTTTCGTATTGCATAACATGTTTAAATTTTGCAATGCTACATATTGTAAATCTAAAATTGTTAATTTGAATACTCTAACCCTTTGTTTATCATTTTGTAACAGGATGACCCCTCCCACGCCGCACCAGCTAATCTCCCTTCTTGTGTGGAGTACGACGACCCCCTTCTTATACCGGACGACGAGGTTCATTACGTCATGGGACTTAGTTCATTACGTCGAACTTATGTCGAACGAGTATTGTCGTCAAAAACTTGTAGACTCATAAACAATGAAAATGTTGTATTACAACTTGTCGTCCATTTATTTGTGTCATGTTCATTTGGTACCGCACTTGTAGTTTTGTACAGCACCGACAAGAACTCAATTGTTTTGAAGCCGTGGTCTGGCTATGTCACTGCTGCGCCGTGGGATCTGGTGGAGCACAGACGCGCCATGTACTATGGCACGGCACAAACACAGAACCATGCCTTTGTAGCACCAGAACCTGGTCTATGGCGCGGCAAATAATTACGTTCGTTTTAGAAATTTTGGACGTATGATACAAAAAGATGTGATCACTTAAGATCGATCATGGGTACAATACATCAGTAGTTCAAAAGGAATATAAGACAACACAATAGAATTTGTAGTACATAGCTACATTGATCATTAATAAAGCATGGAACTAACAGACGGCGTAATAAAAACCCTCAATCAGAAACATATTGAGTAAGCAACTCGTCATCCGAGTACCAATCCTCAACCACAACCCTGTTGCTGTTGCTAGCCTCACCTGCATTGCTCTAACCTGCCTATCGCCTGTAGTAAGCGGCCTCCGCTTCATCTATAGCCGCTGCGGCCTGAGTGAAGAACGCGTCGTCATCCTCCTCAGCCTGTAAGCCCACCTCTGCTAGAGCGATAAGCTCGCCTCGGTCCGCCAGTCATCCCTCATCCTCCTTCACCAAGATGCCCACCTCTCTAGAGAGCGATGAGCTCGCTTCGATCTGCCAGTTGTCGTCGCCATCATCCTTCACTCAGCATGCCCGCCTCTGCTAGAGCAATGAGCTCACTCGATCGCCAAAGGTCGCCCTCATCCTCGTCCCCCTCATCAGACAACATAATCGGTGATTGAACGATGCAACCAGCTCGCAATCCATGCTCATCTAACTTGTTCTCCTCATACCTTGCACGAGCCACCTCTGCGGCATGATCCTCGCTGCAACCAATCCCTTCATGTATAAAATGCAATCAGTTAGCAACGCGATTATATTACATTTAAAATCAGGCAACGAAAAACAGGTGTTCAAGCACTCACTGGCACATAGTGCAGCAACATGCTCGTTCAAGACCTACATCTGTACTCTTGTCTCCTCCCTTGCCTCCTTTCTTGCCCTCTCCTCCTCTAACGTCATCTGCCTCTCCAATCCCCATTTGTTAAGCCCAACATCGATCGGATTACAAATACCGCGCTGTCTAGCAAACTCACGCATCTTTTCTTTGTGATGTTTAACGAATAGGTTGACGTAGTCAGGTCCATATCCTCTCTTCCGTGTAATTAGTTGCCTCTTCTTCAGTTCATCCAAGAACTGAGCTTGACTATCGTAATGTTCCCACCTGCATTTCCTAGTGCTCTATTCAAAAGAAATATTATATCATATATGTCTTAACAAAAGAAACAAAATATGATTTCATGTTTACCACAAAAATAACGAACCTCTTCATACTCAACCATATGGCCACAATAATGGCCTATTCCAAGATCCGAAGGGAGTAGGCCATAGTTAGAATTAACACCATATTCGCACTTGACTAGTGGTGCTTTGTAAATTAACCTTTCTTTCTTCTTTTGTTTTGCTTTTGGAGGTTCTTCGGGCCATTTGTTCTTAGAACCATACAACCACTCCTTGAAACGACACTTCGGCATTGAATGCACCTAAATAACGTAACATTAGTACATGAACACATATAACTAAAGATTTCAACACATACACTTTGCACTTACTTCATGCTTGTTTGGACACACAAACTCCAACGTATTGTCAGGGTTTATCACAGCTCAATCTCCACAATCGCACCGAGGAGGTTCCTCGAGTCGTCTAACTGCGGCTAGGTGCTTCTCCTTAGCCGTAATTGGTGGATGGTTAGGGGGGTGGAACCCACCGCTTGAAGCGCTCACGGGATTTCTCCCTCTAAACCAATCGTCGAAAAGGAGGTATCTGGGGTCAAACTTGTCTGCACTGTCGATCCACTGAAAGAAAAAACACCTCTCATGAGCCTACACAACAAAAATTCAACAAAATATTATTAACCTAATAATACAAATGAAGAAAAAAAACATACGGAAATAATTACTTACATTAAAACGACTGCACGTGTAGAAGTAACGAGCCGCTGTGTCGGGATGTCTCGATTGAAACACGTCGGCCGGACGACCACAGTCATAATTAGGGACAGGGAGTTCAGGAGGGACGGGGCATCTTTGGTAGACTCATCGGGGTACATTTCTCTAGGACGACCTCGTTTTCGCCATAACTGCTCCCGAAACATGTCTTCCATCTAATAAAACGGTTCAAATTAAACATCAATTAAAACAACGTAAATTAATGAAAAATGTAATCATTTGCAATGGAACTAAAATATTATAAACAACAATTATAGTAACAAAAATATACATGGCAAACATACTTCTAACTAAATAATTAATCTTAACATTGACAAACCCAAACTTATATCTTCACCATAGTTTCCAAATATAATTTTTTTACTAACCTTAACTCCATTCATAATATCATATCCACCATTCAAACGAAAATAAAATATGCGTAAGAACCTTAAACGAGAACGAGGAGGAATGGAGGCGGTCGGAGAATGGAAGGGAAGGGAGGGAACCGGCAATGGAGGGCCGGTGGTTGGGGCTGCCGTCGTTCCTGGCGCGGCGGCCGGCGTGGTTGGCGACGGGCGGCCGCGGTGGCGACGGACGGGCGCGGGAGCGACGCGTACGCGGCCTTGTTGCTCGGGCAGCGGGACTGGCGGCGGTGGTTATACGCGGCTCTGCTGCGCCATGGATCAGGGTGCGGCAGTGCCGCGCCAAGATCGGTGGCGCGGCTGAGCCTTGCCACGTCACCGGTCAGCGGGGATGGTCGCCGCCACGTCAGGCCTCTGCCGCGCCGCCATGCATGGCGCGGCACAGGCATTTGGCTGCGCCAGGCAATAGGCGCGGCCAAAAGTGTTAGTTTAAAAAAAATCGACAGTGTTGAATTTAAAATTATATTAAAAATGGTTCAAATTAAAAAAATTTCCTGACAGATCGGTTTTCGCCTCGCCTTCCTTCCACCGCAGGTTCCGTCTGGATCTCATCCGAGATGAAGGCGCTGAACGAGGACTGCGTGCGGTTCGAGATCTTCCCGCCGGGCCACCTCTACTCCAGCGCCGCCGGCGGGTTCCGGCGGTGGTACACCCCGCACTCCTCCCTCGTCGCCTTCGTGACCAAGCGCCACCTCGTCAAGACCGAGGCCGCCGAAAAGTTCGGCGCCGAGCTCCACTCCTTTGTCGTCGGCCTCGAGGTTTTGTTTCGTTTTTTGTTTGCACTGAGAGATGCGCGTGTCTTTGTTTCGAAATCGCGGGACGCTGACGTTTTTTCTTTGCCTCTCGCCCGCCGGCACGTACGTTTCAGGGCTCCCCTGATCTCAAGGCCGCACGAGAGGTCGCCGACTACCTCGGAACCATCCACCACGAGTTCCATTTCACCGTACAGGTAAAAATCCCTTTTGGCCGTGAACTTGATCTATCATGACGCACGCTGACGAGTGGCAAATAAATCGACCATTTTTTGTTTGTTTGTTTGCCATAGGACGGCATCGACGCGATCGAGGAGGTGATCTACCACGACGAGACCTACGACGTGACGACGATCCGGGCCAGCACGCCCATGTTCCTGATGGCTCGCAAGATCAAGTCGCTGGGCGTGAAGATGGTGCTGTCCGGGGAGGGGTCCGACGAGCTCCTGGGCGGCTACCTCTACTTCCACTTCGCTCCCAACAAGGAGACCTGCCGCAAGGTACGGCGGTGCGCCAGCGAGCCGCACATCACCTTGTCATGCGCTTGTCGGTTTCGTTTGGATTCGGGGGAAAAAGCGGTTCTGATCCCGTCGTGATCCTCCGCAGGTGAAAGCCCTGCACCAGTACGACTGCTTGCGTGCCAACAAGGCGACATCGGCGTGGGGCCTGGAGGTCCGCGTGCCGTTCCTCGACAAGGAGTTCATCAACGTCGCTATGAGCATGGACCCCGAGTGGAAAATGGTACTGAAATGTTTCGACCCTGCCGCCGTCATGATCTCGGCTTCTCAGGCGAGGAGAAAGTGACAGTCCCCAGCGCCCTGGAGGTGGGTCTTCGCGGGGAGGCATGGAGGAGGGCCAGGAGGCGGTTGCCGGCGCGCTTGAATCCGGCAGTTGCTGCTCAAATCTGGCCGGGGACGCCGCGCGGGAGGAAGACGGCAGCACACGAGGAAGACGCCCCGCGCGCGCGTGGAAGAGGCGAGGCCACGAAAGGGAAGCGCGAGCTGCGAGCCTACGACTGTGCATCTGCGAGGTGAGAAGGGGAGGAGCCGAGGAGAGTGGGGCGACCCGCGACCGAGAGGGAGAGAGTGCGGCGCTACTTGGAGGGGGCTGCGCGCCTGCAGCCCTAGATGGGCGAGAGAGAGAGAGAGAGGGGAGGGGGAGTTAGGGTTAGCGCCACCGTTAGCCTGGTGGTGGGATACTGGGATGTTAGCTGGTCGTGCCGCCACCGGGCCGACCCTTGTGGACCGGGCCATGCCGTGCCGCCCACCGTGCTTGAGCAGCGGCCCAAGCACGGCCCTGTGTATCGGGCGGGCCGGCACGGATCGTGTCGGGCTAAAATGCCGTGCTTGGGCCGGGCCGTCTTGTCCCGAGCTGCATGGATATTTATACCAACGACCCTTCGGGCCGGTTCATCTCGTCCCACGATTCCGCCACCGACCACGCTGGCGGCAAGCTGGCGGTGGCCAACGGCGGCCACGGCGCCGCGGATAAGAACGAACGACTGGTAGGTGTCTCGTGTGTGTGTGTGTGTGTGGCGTGCCCACCGGCCATATCCCCGGTGCGGCAGCACGTGCTATTGTTACGTGTTGTATGTACTGTCACCAGCGTACGTGTCCGTGTCTGTATGTGATGTTTGAACTCGATCTCTGAATTGAACTACGGATCAATCTAAAATTATTCCCTGGATGGATGGATTTCGATGTCCCTGTTCTCTCTCGCTGTCACAAGCTGATGATCGAACCAAACCTACTACAAGTGCGCGTAGAGGATCTGGTTCCACGTGTCCGGCAGGCCGGGCACGCACCAGTGGATGCAGTCCGTGAACGTCTGCGGGTCGGCCCTCTGCGCGTCGGTGAGCAGCTCGCCGCCGGTCTCGGTGTAGACGGAGACGTGGGCGTCCACGCGGTGCTCCGTGAGCTGCGTCACGTTGAGCAGCGCGACGGGCACCCGCATCCGGCCCAGCACGTCGGACATCACCTCCATCATCCGCCGGTCCGCGCCGCTGCCCCAGTACCCCTTCCGCGTGATGGGCCACGTCTCGTTGTAGCACCGGATGCCGCCCTCCCGGCCCCAGTCCTCGCTCCTGAAAGCCATGGTGGCCAGTTGGATCAAGGAAATGGCAGTACTATTTCATTGAGATGGACAGCTGCGTTGCTACCTCATGTGCGTGGTGGAGATCGACATGAAGAAGACCCTTGTGGCGTTGGGATCGATGTTGGCGTCCACCCAGTTGGCCCATGTCTTGAGGCCCAGCCGGAACGAGACCCAGGCGTCCAGCTCCTCGTACCCGTCGTCCCCAAACGAGCCCCACCTGAAAGTGCATCGCATTGCATCGGAGATCAGAGCAAAACGGTGACCACGCACTGCACGCCGCGGCTCATCAGTCATCACTCACACTGTCTTGATCCTGCTGCCGGTCATCCACCAGACGTAGCTGTCGAAGACGAGGATGTCCACGCCCTTCCAGTGCTTGGCGTGCAGCTCGACGGCGTCGACGTGGAGCACGCGGCCGTCGGCCCCCAGCCGGATGTTGCGGTCGGAGTTGGCCTCCACCAGGTACGGCGCCCAGTAGAACTCGATCGTCGCGTTGTACTCCTGCACCAGCAAGCGGCCGGCCGGGTCGTCCCGCGTTAAGCTTATTGCGCGCACCGCCGGTGGTGGGCGGTCTGTCCGTTGCGTTCTTATGCTTACCGTGGCGGTGAAGACGGAGAGGGTGGTGCTGCGCTCCATGGACCGGGCGGTGTAGGGCACGGCGGAGTTGACGAGGCAGACGAAGGAGAGCCACTGGCCCATCTTCAGCGAGTCGCCCACGAACATCATCCGCTTCCCCCGCAGCTTCTCCAGCACCGCCGCCGGGTCAAACCTGCGGATACGAACGCATAGTTTCGGCCCATGGATTAGCGGTTTGGTCTGATGAACAGGCCGCTAAATTCGGCCCGATAAAATGCTGACTCACACTCACTAAGACCCTTGTAGAGAGATGAATTCGGCCCACTGTTCAGTAACACAAAAGAATACGCTGGTTTTGACTCGTTAGCGTCTTCCTAGTTTTTTTAGGGGCCAACGTTACTTCTTTCAGATGATGAACGCGGTCAACATTTAAAATTTGTTCGAAAAAATAACATTCTACAAAAATACAAGAATAATATGAGATGGAACACCTCATCATTCCTTGAACTGACGAAAAGCAGAGTACACGAGCGGTGGCTGACCTTGGGAGACTGCAGTCGTCTAGATGCCAATCCCAGTACAGGTAGTCACTGTCCGGCCTGCCGTTCCTCTGGCAAGAGACCTGCCTGTCGATGAACGGGCAAGTTTGGTCCGTGTAAAGCAGCTTCCTGGACCTGTTGTACGCCCAGTACCCCTCCGTCACGCTGCACCGGCTCGGGTCAAACGTTGTCTTCGCCGGCGGCGGCTGCGGCCGCGTCACCTTTGCTTCGCCCGGCCGCGTTAGCTTCGTCCTCGTCCCGGCATGTAGAGACGTCGTCCTCTTCTGCTCCTCTTTCCACTTCTTCTTCTCCATGATCTCTGAAGAGAGCATGCGGCACCAGGCCATTCATTCCAACAAGTTCAAACGCTTACAAGGTAACACAGAGATGACGCTAAAGCATGCACAGGCTCAGGTGCATATGTGCTGTGCAATGAAGTTCAGTAGGTGCAGCACTAGAAGCATGTATGTACCAGTGGGTGAGCGGAGGTCCTCGGTGAAGATGATGCCCGCCAGAGCCAGCCCGCCGATGATTGCCACCACCACTGACAGCGGGGCCCGCCCCTTCACGCACTTCATCGCTGCTATCTGAACCATGAGCTCAGCTGCTACGTGGATGCTGGCATGCAGTGATGCTTGTTGCAGGCTGCAGGGGGGGTGGCTGGAGTGAGAAGGCTTAAGTTATTGGCAGCTGCTCCTGTGTTTTTAGTATTGGTGGCAGTGCTTTCAGTTGCAGAGATCATATAATTAAGTTGGGAATCATAGGACTGCATGGCGGGGCCAGGGTAGATGCATTTGGCACTTGAATTTAACTGTTTGCTGTACTAACTGTCTAACTCGAGTAGGAGTGAAGCAAAAGCAACGTTTAGGAGCTGCATTGCGCTGCCTGAGACAACCAACCTGGGCATGTTCCTTCACTCTGCATTGTCAAAAGGTTGTTTGAAGCTAAGACTGTCTCCAATGTTTGTCCGGACACCCATACCTAAAATGGGTCTCAAATGGTACTGTATTAGCCTTCAATAGGGCACCTATATGCGAGACCCATTTTAGGTTATAGCAAGGGCACAACCCAAATATGAGTATCCTCTCTCCTGGAGACTCATTTACAGAAATGGTTCTCTTTTGGATCCTGTTGTTGAGAAGACAAAAAATAGGTATGCAACCCTTTACCTGTAGCGCTACCCAAACAAACATGAAATGGGTCTTATATTTTGGATAATGTTGTTGGAGATAGCCTAATATATAGGCTACTATAGCCCAGGTTCCATGGGTGTCATTTATTCGTTGAGAAGAAAGAGGTTCTGGCTAAAGCTAGACACTGTTGCACTGATTGTGTGCTCCATTATTCCATCAGAAACTGCCTTTTGGCGGTCTTCTGGTTCTAGGTGTGTATCTGTCCTTTTACTGTGTGCAGCATCATTTCAGTGGGAATGCTGCGAAAGCTGCAGCTCAGCTCACCAAATCATGCACTCCTGGAGCAGAGTGGCTGATCCTTCTGTATCATTGTTCAAGTTGATGCAGAACGGCAAATGATACTGCCCGTATTTCGGTAGCATCTTCCTGTCTAGGTTTATTCAGGCAGGAACAAGACAGCATATGCACTCACGGCATGATAGTCAGGGCATGAAGTTTCGAGTCATAGTCAACCTGTTTTCATGTGTACGTTTCGACGAGATTTATTAGCTTTACCGTTAAGGTAGGCCGTCCATTTAAACCCATTAGGTAGAAAAACAGCTCCAAAACAGATACTAAAGCTCCAAACTTACAATTTATTTCGGACTCCTCTTTAGAGCAAGGCAAAAACGCCATACGCATAACTGACATTCATCGTATGCATGAGCAGAAGATAGAAAATAATACAAGTATGCATGAGCAGAAGATAGAAAATAATACAAGTAGCTTTGATATGATGTTTGACCAGTTTGTTGGTGAGATCTTGGTATGCCGTTTGTTTCGATATGCTTTAGGCTGTGTTTAGTTGGACGAAATTTAGTAATTTCACTACCGTAACACTTTCGTTTTTATTTGGTAATTTGTGTTCAATCATGGACTAATTAGGCTCAAAACGTTCGTCTCGCGATTTTCAACTAAACTATGTAATTAGTTTTTTTTCGTTTATATTTAATGTTTCATACACGTATCACAAGATTCGATGGGATAGCTACTGTAGCACTTTTTGGAAAACTTTTTTGAAACTAAACGTGGCCTTACACTCCATCCGTCGATCTTATGATGGAGCATTATAACACGACAGATGGTGGATTGCGTGGGTAAGTACGGAGATTCTTGCCGAACCAAAATCCGGACAACAATACTGCACTGTCAAGAAATTTGTGTTTTATCATTAATTCATTATAAACTTGATATGGAGAAACTGATGTATTTTTGGCAGCCATTCTCACTAGATTATGCACACTTGTCATATAGCTATTCTGCTGAAGGTTGCTACATGCATCCTTCTTTTTCTCTCCTTTTAGGAATCCTGAATTCTTGACAACACATATCGTGCATTGCCAGATAATAGATCGATTCATCTAAAGCTCGCCCTGCTCGTTCCGCTCAGAACTCAAAATGATTTCATCTTGGTGCCTGTTTA